TTTTGCCATTTTATCGCCCCAGAATGCAAACAGATTTCCAAAGTGGGTGACTGACACTTAGCCCCAACAATACACACAGATGTTAAACCCCTGTATGACATTTAGAAAAGATTTTAGGAAACAACCCCAATTTCATACAGTTCTGGCTGGCGGTTTTTAGCTATATCCTTTACTAGATATTTTTCTAGTGAAATAGCAAAAGCGGTTTTAAAAATTTGCCATGCCATTAAATGAAGGGTTCTAGAGTCTCCCTTTTTTTTAAAGTGATTTTATTCTCTAATTTAAAACAATAACTACACTAAAAATGCAACCTTAACAGTCAAAGCAAAATCAGTTTTGCTTCTGGATCTAGAGCATACATCCAAGAGAGGCAACTCATTGTCCTAGCAGATACATGGAATGCTTCAGAGCAGAATCTGACATGCTCTAGTAAGGCATCTCAAAGCAGACACACCATACCTAAATTAAATTATTACAGTCAGCCGAGGATACCACAAGGTGAACACCAATTAACACAGAATCAACATGAATTCTTACAAAATGACACACTGATTTACAAAACCACAGAAAGGTGCTCAAGTACCAAAAGAAGGCAAAACAATGACCAGCCACTCTAAAAGAGTTTTGTTCCCGTAAATGCCAGATTTGCAGAGTAGAAATAAACTTTATATGTGCTTTGCCCTAGAATATCACTCATCCTGACATATGGGGTTACTTTTCCTTAAAAAAATATATCATGTAGAGAATATACATTGAATCAATGATATAGAACATTTATTTTCACTAGTGAGGGGGTCACTTAAGCACTTAACTAGAAAAAGAGTAATCATGAAGGTTATTTAAATGCAAAAAGAAATCTGATAAAACCTGCATTATTAGTTGGCATTAACAGTGAAGTGAGGTTTTTAGCAATTACATTGGCTTAATGAGGAGCATGACCATGAAAAAAAATCTTCAAATTCAAAGAACTGTGAAATGCCTAAAATGAAAGTTTAGTTAGTAAAAAAATCATACTTTCATTTTAAGGTCCCCAAAGGAATGTTCAGTTATCTTGGAAGCCATGATGCTTATCATACAAGCACAAGAATATGACTCAGGAACAGTGAAGTTTCAATTCCGACTTATCCATTGAATCTTCATTACCTGGAGCAAGTCACTTAAATTCTTCAGATTTTGCCCACAAAAAACTGGCATAAAAATAAAGGTATATGTCAAAAAAAATTTTTTTTCTGAACAGTACTAGAGTAAAGCTAAAGATGATTACTAAGGCTCACAATTTCAACAACTCATTGTACAGTACAATCATTTTCGATCCTGTTAATTATGGCTAGAGGAAGCATGGGCAATGACAACACTCAGGGAATTCAAAGGCTTTAGATAAGTTAATGGTTTTGACTTTCGCAACTGTGAAATCCGTTCTTCTCGAGTTGTCTAAAACAGCTAATCATCTATGGGTTTGACTCTCTCCACTTCTCTATGTTCTGGTAGAGCAGGTGAAAGTAATGACAGAGATGTGGTTTCATGGAGAAAAGCAGCAATAGAATGAAATGAGGTATAAGGTGATTTAATAAACCCCAATCCGTAATTTACAGTTATTTTAAAGAGGCTGCATAGTTCAGCAAAAATACACTATAGAAGAGGGATAAAGAAAAAATTCTTATGGAACTTTAAAAGGTGTGACAACTAAGCATTTAAAATGACCAACACCAGAGAACTTGAGGTTGGAAAGGAGTGGTTTTCCTCCACGCTAAGCACATATAAAAACAGAAACCAGAAGGCTAAAGTCCACAAGAGAAAACAATGTATGTTATTTGGTTCCAGTTGTCAACTTCATACACTGCTTTATGGTATTAAAGATAGCAATATTCAAACAGATAATAAACTCTAGTTAACGACACCTATGCTGAAGTGTTTAAGGGAGAATATGGTCTGAAATTTATGTTGAAATATATATTTTTTAAAAACTCCATGGATGGACAGATAGAGGGACAGACAGACAGGTGGTAATTCAAGCCTAGTAAAGTGTTAATGGCATAATTTACTGGTGGATATACTGTAAAAATTTTTTAACTTCAATGTATGTTTAAAATTTTTCATAATAAAATATTGAGGAAAATTTTACTATTTCTACAATAAAGTTAATTTAGCAGTGTGTTTTAAACTCAGGCAATTTAGAATTGTAATTAACTGAAGGGAGAATTTTTGCTTAAGGCCTCAAACCCAATTTCTGAAGATCGTTTCTTTAACATAGAGATAAACTAACACAATTGGTAAGTATTGTGAACAAGATAGTCTCTTCTTCACACACCTCATTTGCAAGTAAGTAATTCTCTTCTCTCTACAGAATAGACAAGTTTTGAAAAGAGCACTGGAATAAAGTTTTTCCAAACATCAGTGTAAATCAAGCCCTTCCAATCCACCACACTACTACTCATTAAATATAAATGCAACATAGATCAAGGTGAAGAATAATCTATGACTACTGTCAGCCTGGGACAACTGGATTTCTTTTCAGGGTGTGTGGTTCCTTATCAACAATGTTAACAGTTTTACTCAGTATCAAATTGAAATCTCATTAAGCCAAAAATAAATAAATAAATAAAATGCAGAATGCAGAATTCACACAGACCTTCGCTATTCTAAGCTTCTGTTTTATGAATTGTGATTAATGGCAATAATTCTATCATCTCTTCTCTCTGTGAAATGCTAAAACTTGCTAAAGGCACTCATATTCTGGGCTTAATGGAGACAGGGTCACATGGGACCATAAGCCAGTATTTACTTTTTGGTAGCTACCCAGAAAGGGAGTTTACAAATGACCCTCCCATTCACACTGGGAAGAAAAAGTCAAACACCTATCAGTAGAAACGTCATATGAGAAACTATTTACACAGCTATTTGTCCACTCAGAAAGACTGCTAGTAACTATGATGATAGAGGTCTACAAAGAAAAACCCCCAAAAAACAAAAGCAACAACAAAACACTATTATGTATGAAACTCCTGAATAGTAATTTGGCTGGTTAAAAAAAAAAAAAAAAATAGTGGTTAAGGTGGAGTATTTTTTAAGCATTGTTCAAAAGCCTACATTAAACTTTTGTCTCTATTGACAAAATATTTCTATTTCTAAAGAAATTCTATTGTCTTATATATGCCTCACCAAGTGCTTTAGAGAGCACTTTCAGTCTACATTCCAATATTAAGGAAACAAAACAAGTTCCAAATACACCATCCCTAGGCCTCTCTGTAGAGGATACCATGACCAAAATTACATGTCTCCCCTGACAAGCAAGACTTGTATTACACAGGTCACTGGACAGTCCTCAAACTGTCATTGCTCAGGGTCCCACCCAATTCAGGAGTGAAGGAATCATAAATCCCACTGCTAATCCTTAGAATCTATCTACAGAGGAAGATTAAAGCAAATATATGTTTCGTGTTTGTTTATAAACACGAAACATGTATTTTCCCATTCCCCTCATTGAAAGTGTAGACAAGCAGCTATAAACAAGCATATCAATTCTGTAAAATAAGGTGGAAGGAAGATCTCATGCTTCCCTTCAGCTGTGTTAAGTCAGAGGAACATAAGGATGGTCTCAGGCGACCATGATTCTTCATTCAATCTCAGAGTTTCAAAAAATCTTAAATGGTTTTCTAAGTTTACCAACTCATTAGGAGGGGAAATAATGAAGAAGAGTTGGAGAAAGAACTTTTTCTAAATGAATGGTATAAAATATTCATCTTGCAGAATTCAGTGCAATAAGAGACAAGCAGACAAATGTAATAAAAAACATGCACATATTTACAGGTTGTAGTACATGATATACAAAGACAAGACCAACAAAGTATTTTCTGTTCAGTGTGGAGCCAAAAGGATTTACATGGCACACTTTGTTTTGTAGCTTAACTTTTTGAAAAAAACACTTCAAAGGCATAGGCAGTCCAATCTTTTAATTGGAACATGGAATTTTTCCTTTACAACTTCTTGCCCTCAATATCTTAAGAAGAGTTTCTAATTGTTATCTTCTAACATTGACTTCAAATGACAACTTACTGAAAGATACTCACAAAGAGACTTTGATGCTATAAGTTCTTCTTGCAGATGATTACTGAAATCTACTGACTCAACTAAAGGTCTTCCGCTGTTTAGGCCTCTGTCCGTCCTTGTATACAGCATATACAAAGATACTAACATGACTCTTGGGCAGCACAGGGTGCAGATTCTAGAGCAGATTACAAAGCAGGACTGGACTTCACAAAAGGAAACCAACAGAGATCACGTATCACTGACTGTGGTAGTAACAACGGCCTTCTTTGACAGGGAAAAAACACTGTCTAACAGGAATGCATGAAGATGAGAAATTGTACCATGCAGAGATATATTTATTTAGGTATTTCCTTTTTGACAACCTCTGTCACCTTTGCATCACCTATGGAGCACAGGAGAATGTTGCAAGGTAACAACCCCAAAACAATCCACTGTCATAGAGATCTGTGATTTTCTCTTTTTTTGGATGTGTAGGTAACCTCTATAAATGATCATGGAAGTTATCAACTTCCTACAGTTTGGAAATTAAGGAGCAAACCGAGTTATTGTAGGCAATATGGTATCTAAAGTGTCATATAAAACAAACACATAGCTCTTCTTTAGTGCAAAGAAATAGAGCAAGTAAGAAATAACACTATAAATCTAACTTTTTTCTTTAAAGAAAACACGTTTATGCATTCATAACATCCATTAAGGGCACTGGGAGACTGGAAACCTGAATATGCAAGGCCAGGAAAAGACATCAAGGCCTTTAAGTCCACTGCTTTTTGTATATATGTAATGAAATTATTAAGTGGGGAGAGTGGGGAAAATCCTTCAATTTTATTTGCAAAGGAAAAACTGAAAGTGGATAAATGCCACTTTTACAAATTGTAAATTCTTATCCACGATCTTCTACTATTACCTGAAATAAGGATCCAATGAAATCTTCTCTACGGTATCACATAAATATATATGTATGTGTGTATATATGTACTTATATACACACATACATATATGTATGTATGTCTATATGTACACAGACATACAGAGAAAGAGAGGAAAATAAAGTTTTTAAATAATTAAAGAACTAAGTGGCCAGCACTGTAATATTAAATTCTACCCAAAAATGATACTTAGCAGCAATATGAGTAACCTACTGACCAATAAAATAAGTTCTAAATTGGTCTAAACTAATCAATTGTATAAAAGGATTATTATGCTCAGAGTCACAGGTCTAGATAGAATCTCAATAATGTTATTTCATTCTCCTGTTTCTGGGAGGGAAAAAAATGTACTAAACAATTCTATTTTCAAAAAACCTCTACTTCAACAGAAGAACAAGTTGATAATTGTACCAGTGGTTATCCCAAAACTGAATTTTAAATACAGATCTACATTGCTCAAAAATTGTTCATAAGGATTAAAGGCAAGGAATGATGATTGTAATTTCCTTCTCCCCATCTCTTTGCCTATAGAATTATCAAGGAAAAATAGGAGTTTTATTTTTAATTACTAATTAAAGCAATCAAATGTGAATTGACCATAGTGCAAAGATACTGCTCATTATAAACTTCCTGGTGAATGTGGCCTTCCAAAAAAAAGTATGGATGAGCACCAGTCTTATCCATGTAAATACAGTAAGTAGATAAAATACAACTAATTAAAGTTCATAGAGTACTCCATTAGTTTATCTAGCCATACACTAGAGCTTCTTATTTTAAAAACCAAAACCAAATAATAATACTATTAAAATGATCAGATACCAAAGTAATCCATAATGTATTTCCACAACCTTTAAAGAAGCTGAATTACAAAGAACCGAAGTTCATGTATTTTACTACTGGATATTATGAAACTAAAATTTGGTTAACTTTTTTTTTAATCCTCTCTATCTATAAAATAATAAGGTAGTAGTATTTTTCAGAGTAGCCAACCAACGGGTAAGACAGGAAAGAACATAAGTAAACCATAAGGATCAGTTTATCAAAAAAGTCTCCCAAAACAAATATCAAGAGATCCAAACTTAACAATCAAGATTGTCATATAAGTAGGTTATTATCAGTGAATAACTCTAAATTGAAAAATCAAACACATCTTTACATTTCTCAAAACCATCTGAAAAATATTTTTTTAAAAAATAGCATATCTATCTTAAATGCATTGAATATTGGAACAGGGGGCTTGGAAAGCCCACAAAATAGCTGGGGCATGAAAATGAGCTCATTAAACAAGCTAATTCAACTGAGGTGGGGTGGGGGAAGGGGGAAGGAAGGAAGAAGATGGCATTTAAATGTGTAAAATCCACAAGTGGAAATGAAATTTCACAGTTGGGAAGTCTACAAGCACACTGGAAGTGTATAAATCCAAGAAAATCTATATTCAATCAATAATGGGAAGACAAGGGGAAAACATGTCCTGGGAAAGACCCTAATCCGGTTTATATTCATATATCCTACTGGCAAGGCATTGTGTTGAGGTGGTTCCAAAGAAACCTTGGGAAACCAGAATCTCTGCTTACCTGTTTTTACCATTATCTGAAGTAAGAACTCAATAAAATTCTTTACTTAACAGTACGTAAAACTAAAACTGCAAAAGAAGGTGAAAATTTTAAATTTTTGAATAGTTAAAGCTCTAAGTGATCAGGCTACTAGTTGACCAGAACTTGGTCAAGATAAAAAGTTACTTCTCGTGGGGTAGGTAGGTCACATGCTCTAAGTAGATCAACACAACTGACCTGAAAATGCATCATGACCTAAGAAGCACATTCTTTTCCTTCCCCAGTCTTGATAGCTCATGGTACACCACTGCAGGTTACACGTATTAACATTAAGCAGAGGAATATACTCAGATCAAAAGGACCACAAAAGCAGGGCATGTTGACAGAAGGCAAACAACAGGCAGGAAAAGCTGCTCTATCTGAATACAACAACCACTATACATATCCCAGATTCTCCATCTCATTTCTGTACCGCTGTTCAGACACCTTGCTTTTATGTTGCTTGCTCTCTAAATGCTGCCGGAACTCCATCTCCTCACCAGCCCCAACATTACACATGGAGCAGTAAAACTGGCCACTCGGGGTAACACACATGGCCAGATCACGTGGAATTCTCTGCCGAGAGCGGGGATTGAAGTAAGGACCTGCTAAAGCAAGAGATAAAAATGGATTCACTTCAAAATATTCACTACATAAATGATGACAGTCTGATTATCACTATAATATGTCATCCTAAGCTCAAATTATAAAATTCACTCTCAGCTTTAAATGAATGCAAAATTAATAGATTTTTTTAAATTACAATTTTATACACGTTCAATCTAAGAAGCGAAATGATTCCTCCAACTACTGTCAGAAAGGTTACTGTAGAGCCAAACCCCAGCTCCAAATGACAATGTCTCTAAAAAGTAAGTAAAATTGTAAAAATTGTTTAACTTTATATGAAAAGTTTTATCATTATACTAACTTTTTAATCCAAAAATTCTACTTCTAAGAATTATCCTAAGAAAACACTGAGAATTTTTGTATGGAGATTTATCAACAAGGACATTATTTCATCAGTGTGCATACAAGTTTTTATGGGAGGATGTGGGAAAAGGAGAACAAATAGATTATTTGAAAAATTATGGTAATGAATGCAACAGAAAACCATGCAGTCACTGTAAGTAATAAAAACTCTTTGATTTGCTTTGGTTACATGAAAATGTGATTATAATATGCTATTAAGTGAAACAAGAATATCACAAAATATAATCACATTTCTTTTTTTTTTATTTTTTAATTTTTATAAACATATATTTTTATCCCCAGGGGTACAGGTCTGTGAATCGCCAGGTTTACACACTTCACAGCACTCACCATAGCATATACCCTCCCCAATGTCCATAACCCCCCCCCCTCCCCCCACCCCCCCCCCCCCAGCAACCCTCAGTTTGTTTTGTGAGTATAATCACATTTCTATTTCAAAGAATATATATAGAGATGGGAATGACACACTAACATATACAAAAATGTTGGCGGAATTATTGGTAATTTTTTTTTCTTTTTACATAACTGACTTCTTTTTTTTAACTATGTTAAACTGAATTTACTGGCCTATTGCATTAAAAAAAAAAAAAGCTAATCTATAATTACCTGAATAAATTCTCCTTCAGCATTCAAAATATTCAATGTGACATATTTATAGGCAAATCAAATTATAACTAATGTATTTTAGGTTTGGGGGGTATTGTTTGTTTGTTTTTATTGAAGCATAGTTGACACACACTGTTACATTAGTTTCCGGGGACTGCACAACTCTATACATTATGCTATGCTCACCACAGGTGCAGTCCAGCTGTCACCATGCAACACTATTATAGTTCCACCAACTATATTCCCTATGCTGTATCTTTGATCCCCTGACTTATTCACTCCGTAACTGGAAGCCTGTATCTCCCATTCCCCTTCACTGTTTTGCCAAAGCCACCGGCCCCTTGCCTAGAGTTCTCTGTATTTACTTAGCACAATACCCTCTAGGTCCATCCATGTTGTTGCAAATAGCAAGATCTCATTCATTTTTATGACTGAATAATATTCCATAGTGTGTGTGTGTGTGTGTGTGTGTGTGTGTCTGTGTCTGTGTGTGTGTATACACATGTGCACACACCACATCTTTATCCATTCATCTATCAAGGGATACTTGGGTCACTTCCATATCTTGGCTATTGTAAATAACATTGAAATGAACACACGAGTGCATATATCTTTTCAAAACAGTGTTTTTGTTTTCTTTGGGTAAATAAATACCCAGTTATATAACTGAATTCTTAAGTTGGACCATTGCTTATTAGTTTTCTGCTTTCTTTTCTACTATAATAAATATTTAAGACTTTTCTCAAAATATTACTTTCACTGTATCCTACAAAATTTAATATATTTTTATTACTGTTTGATTTTAAGAATTTTAAATTTCCAGGTACCTGGGTGGCTCAGTTGGTTAAGAATAAGAATCTGCCTTTGGCTCAGGCTCAAGTCAAGATCCCAGGGACTACAGATCAAGTCCCAAAGAGCCTCTGGCTTCCTGCTCAGCAGGGAGTCTGCCTCTTCATCTTTCTCTGCCCCTCTCCCACTGCTCATGCACAGTGCTCTCTCTCGATCACTCTCAAATACATAAAATTTTTTTTTAAAGATTTTATTTATTTATTTGACAGAGAGAGATCACAAGTAAATGGAGAGGCAGGCAGAGAGAGAGAGAGGGAAGCAGGCTCTCTGCTGAGCAGAGAGCCCGATGCGGGACTCGATCCCAGGACCCTGAGATCATGACCTGAACCGAAGGCAGCGGCTTAACCCACTGAGCCACCCAGGCGCCCCATACATAAAAAGGAATTTTTAATTTCCAATATGATTTCTTCTTTGATCCAGAGTTATTTAGAAGTGTTTAAAAATTTCCAAACAAATGGAAATTTTGTAGGGTTTTTTAAATATATTTTTTGTTATTGATCCCTCATTTAATTGTACTCTGCCCAGAAAACAGTCCAAACTGCCCTCTGTCCTAAGGTTTATTTTACCTAATATTAATGCAGTTATCTCAGCTTCCTTCAGTTCAGCTAAATTTTTTATTTTATTTATTTTCTCTTTATTTTTTTTCTTATTTTCTTTCTTAAATTCTTTTAGTTTAAATTCAATTAACATATAGAGTATTATTAGTTTCAGAGGTAGAGTTCAGTGAATCATTAGTCTTATGTGACACCCAGTGCTCATTACACCTCAGCTGAACTTTTTTTTCTTAAAGATTTTATTTATTTATTTGACAGAGAAAGAGAGAGCATAAGCAGTGGGGAGCAGAGACAGAGGGAGTAGCAGACTCCCTGCTGAGCAATGAGCCTAATGTGGGACTCCATCCCATGAACCCTGGGATCATGATCTGAGCCTAAGGCAGACGCTTAATCAACTAAGCCACCCAGGTGACTCTCAGCTGAATTTTTTTTTTTTTAGATTTATTTATTTATATATTTGACAGAGAGAGAGCATACAAGTATGCAGAGCAGCAGGCAGAGGGAGAGGGAGAAGAAGACTCCCCGCTGAGCAGGGAGCCCAATTCGGGACTCAATCCCAGGACCCTGGGATCATGACCTGAGTGGAAGGCAGCCGCTTAACTGACTGAGCCACCCAGCCCCTCTCAGCTGAATTTTTTTAATCCAATCTTGTAATCTTTGTCTTGTAACTGGGACTTCAGTCAATTTATACTTACTATAATCACTGATGTATGTTTCAACTTTTATTAATCATAGTACATTATGCTTTCTCTATGTCCCTTTTTCTATGTTTATCTTGCCTTTCCAATGAATGTTTTTGTTTTTCATTTGATCTACTGTTCCCATGAGTTACCTCTCCTAGTATATGTGTGCATTGGAAGCTGTGACGGGGGAGGATAAAGGACTATTCAGTCCAACTCTCCTTCCTGGAGATAATCAGAAAATGCAGAAAACATTCCTATAATGCAGCAGTTCTGAACTGAAGATGTATATGAGAGGATGAACTGAAGGTGTATATGAGAATCACTGAGGAAGCATTTCTAAAACACACATATGTCTGGGTCCCACTCTGAATTTACTGACTAAATATCTCTAAGTCATGGTTCAGGAATGTGTATTTTGTAAAAACTCCCCCAAGTTTAAAGCCACTGCTCAATCTTTTTTATTTTCCCCAACAAATGGAGATTTAACAGGACACAACTTTAAACCAAGTAGCCCATTTTTATAACGCATTTTACATTTCTCGGCTGGCAAACACCAGAAGCAGTGTAAAGGGACTATGATCAAAGATCTTAAAACAGGGATGCCTGGGTGGCTCAGTGGGTTAAAGCCTCTGCCTTCGGCTCAGGTCATGATCCCAGGGTCCTGGGATTGAGCCCCGCATCGAGCCCAACATCGAGCCCGACATCGAGCCCCACATCAGGCCCCACATCGAGCCCCACATCGAGCCCCACATCGAGCCCCGCATCGAGCCCCGCATCGAGCCCCGCATCGGGCTCTCTGCTCAGCAGGGAGCCTGCTTCCCTTCCTCTCTCTTTCTCTCTCTCTCTGCCTGCCTCTCTGCCTACTTGTGATCTCTGTCTGTCAAATAAATAAATAAAAATAAAGTCTTGAAAAAAAAAGGCCTTAAAACATAAACTATAATTTAAAATAAAAATAAATAATAAACTACACAGAAAATAAATAAAGACCTGAAATAAACACCAGATTGAAAAGCCACTAGACAAATGAACAATTAGCTAACCGCAAATTCTCAGGGCTATTATCATTAAAGGAAATAAAAATAAAGAAGACCACTTCCAGAATGTGGCCACGGTACCTGAATTATTCTGTACTGTATACATATTCCTCCTATTAGGCATCATCTTATACTCATTCCCTTCTTTCCGGGTCCGCCGCTGACCGGCCTCTGAGGACTCCCTGGAGAAAAGAAATTTGAAAAGTGTGAGACTTCTAAACAAGGATCCCTTTCAGCTCTTTTTCTCTAAAGACAGTCTTACACAACCCTTTGGCCTGAGAGAAAATGGCAATACCTACGAGAATGAGTTACTCTGAGCTTCCGCCAGCCGCAGCCTCTTGGCGTGATTCTTCCCTTGATAGTGAGCCTGAGCCACAGCCGGAGAACTAAAGGAGGCATCACAAAGCTTACAGTAATCATTCTCCGTGGCCAGGATCACTCTGCCTCCAGGCTTAAAGGAGCCCATCTGACATCAAAGACACAAGAGACAAAGTTAAAAAAAATGTGGAGCTTCTGCCCTCCTTCCCCTCAAAGTTCCTAAGAGTTGAAAGATAACCAAAGGTTATGATATGACCACAAGCACTCAGCTTTATAACGAGAGGATGTAATTCATTCCAGAAAAACAACAACAACAAAGGAAAAAGGCTGGGAGATAATCATGGTTTTGTATTACAATCACCTTTGTACCAAACCTATTAATGGCTTGTTGCTATCTCCATGGAGAAATTTTTTAAAAGAAGCATAGAAGATTCAGGGCAGTATAGGAAAACCCTAAAATCACATTACCAGAAAGATCAAGTCCTTCCAGAATCCATCAACGAGCATTTAATGAATGCCTACTGTTTATAGGGCTTGCTACCTAATGCAGAAGGGATAAGCAGATGTATATTTACAAATGAGCCTCTGTCCCCCACAAAGTCTACAAATTAGCTATGGATATAATATAAGTAGGGAAAAATAACCAGCAGATACAGGCAACCGTATTCAGGCTGAGAAATGAGTTCAGAGAAACCTAACACAGTGCCTGGAAGATAGTATGTACTCAATAAATACTGTTGGGTAAACAAAAAAAGACAAACTAGATTTGGGCTAGAGGAGAATAAAATACCTAATAAAGAGTCTGGAAGCATATCCTGTCAGGACCAGCTGAAGGAAACTGCACGGTTTCACCAGGATGGGAAGATTTTCTGGGGGACAGAAGAGCAGTCTCCAAAAATCACAAAGGGCTATGCTAGGAAAGAAGGCTCTGAAGGTTCCCTCAAGGAGGGGGAGCAAGCTGAAAACTGTCCCAAGCTGGGAGCAGCTGTCCTGTCCAGAACAAGAATCAGGGCCCTGAAAACTTCTCAGCCTGAAGATCTGTCTGGGTATTTTTCTCTTCTTTGATTCTGCTTTTATCCTCTCTCATTTACCCCACAAATTCGTGAGGATGGAGGAAAAGCTGGTATTGCCATCCATGTTTTAAAGACTGGAAAACTGACATTAGGGAAGGTAAAATTACACCATGGCAGTTAGGAGCAGAAGTCCAAGGTCAAAAGAAATTCTTGTTCCACCACTTCACAAAACACATAACACCATGGACAAGTTACTTGCTTCTCTGAGCTTCTAATAAACTTCCAGGTGAGACAAATGCTGCTAGCCCATGAATTATACTCGGAGTAGTCAAGTCAATACCTCTTAAATTCTTGGAAGCATGAAATGAAGTTTAGGGCCCAGGACTAGATTAAGGCAAGGCAAGCATTTTCCATGGGCATAAAATTTAAGGGTGCATCAAAAAACTCAATAATCAAGATAAAATAATATGTTAATGGAACACTTATATAAATCAAACCTAATATAAGAAATTATCATAAACAAAATATCAAAATTTTAAATAAAGACAGGACAGTCACAGTGCCATGCCAAGCTATACTGCAGCCTGAGGCAAAAGGAAAATCAGTAATACTTACCCAGCTTTAAGTTTTTGACATTTCGTTTACCACTGATTTTTTCGGATTCATTTGGAATTTTAAAGTAGTACATTAAAATATTTATCTTCATTACTGTTTTGGCTCCCTCTCAAATTTGTGCCTCAGTCAAGGGCATCCCTCATCTCACCTTAGTCCCAGCCCTGAACGAAGTAATGTAAGAAAAGTGCTTAGCAGAGTGCCTGGCATAGTAAATACTTGATTAGAGCTATTATTATTTATGACCATGTATTGTTCTATGGACAAAAACAGATTAAGGAATACAATCCATATTTCAGAGGCTATTAAAGTACAGCATTATCTTGCCTAAAACATCTGCTTTATCTACCAGTGAAAGGAATGTGAATCTCAAGTGTGTGTCATTATATTAAAGTCCAGAAAAAGTTTATACAGGTTCTCTCCATAGTGTGAAGAAAGGGGCAATCTCAAAAAACTGACCTTGCTGGAAGGCAAATTATAAAGTAAGTGGGATTAACTACAATAAAGAAATAAATACTGAAAACCTCTCTTTTCATTCAGGGCAGAGCTTAGACATTCAGGGTCATTTAACCCAGAATTCTAAGACATGCCAAGAAAAAGCCATATGTAACAATATTTCTTTCTTCATTTCATGCATCACAACCAACTCAATGAGAAATCTCAAGGTCATGGATGTTGGCATGCTTTAAACACTGCACTACAGTTTGAGGAGTTAAAAGTGCCAAGTAGAACCTTGTAGGAGTATTCGCCCAACTGTACCTTGACGGGCCTCTGGATGACAAACTTCATCCATGAGCATGTGTGCAGAGGACAACTCCCACCCTGATATGTGTGTCTCACCTGCGGAGGGACGGGAACAGCTGGAGTAGCCACAGGTTCCACCACGTTGCTCATTCTGGCAGGAGGAGGACAGCTGTTGGCTGCATAGTAATTTCGGAGTTTCTTACCATGATTTTTACCCTAGAACCAAAGTGAAATGAGTAGTCACCAAGAAAAAATGTGTCAACTAGAGTTCATGTATCCATTAAAAAAATAATAGTAATAGAAAAAATGGGAAAAAATAAAAAACCCAAGCAATATTAACTACATTTTATTCTTGCAGATATATGCAACACCGGGGCAAAGAGCCCACTAGATCTTAAAGTAAAAGAGTCTACACTTCAGTTCTAACAGAAGTGAAAGATTTATCTGGGAAAGATAAGAGAACAAACCCAAAAGAAATTAATTTCCTATATATTTCTGGAAAAGTATCACATTTTCCAGTGATCTACTTCCTCCCCCAACTTGTCATTCATATGCCACTGCCTAAATACAAATTTTATTACACTGTGATCTAATCTATTTTATAAGTCAGTAAGGAAATGGATAATCCAATTCTTTTTACAAAAATAGCACTTACAGAGTATCTTTTTACTTGCAAAGGGCTCTTGTGTGCATTAGCTCATTTGCTGCTGACAAAAATTCCTGTAAGAGGAATTTGTTAATATTATCCACATATGACAGGTGAGGAGCTGCGATCCACAGAGTGTGGAGGACTTGAGCTGGCACCTTCCTTCAGCTGGGCTAGGTAATGGAGCAGGGGCTTCAGGAGGCCCTCTGAATCCAAAGCAAGACCTTTGACTACTTCAGGAAGCACTGTGAACCACTGTTAAGATGCATTCACCTCTCCAGCATGTTTTGTTTAAGTAGTTATTCACATTATTATATTCCTTGAACTGACGGAAATTTGAGGGAAGGGCCAGTGGTCTGAAAGCATTCCAAATGAGGGTGAAACAATGTGTTATTCTTCAGACTGCACTGTAAACTTCAAACCTGTAGGCAAACAGTCTTTTCACCATCTACTAGGCAAACAGTCTTTCACCATCTACTATATGCTAAGCCCTAGAAATAAAAAGGACTAGCACACGCTCAAGAGGAGAAGACAGATATATGTAAGCAGTTAATTAAAGTAAGGAGATGAGTTCTACCTTCTGACCACTGGAATGTCCTACAGGTGCTCTTGCTGTGGTCATGGTGACCTCCAGGGAGTCAAATCCAGGGGTACATTCGTGCCTTCACCATGTTCTAAATCTGGCCAGCACAACACCATGAATACTCCTTTCTGTTGTCTCCTAGGATGCCCTCCTTACCCACCACTTATTCTCTCAATGCTGCAACATCCAAAGCTCCAGCCTTGGCCCTCTTCTCCATCTACATTATTTTCCCCTGTCTCATAGCTTTAAAATATAATCTTGACAAGTAAGTAGCTCCCAAATTATCTGTCTTCACCTCTGTTGTGGACTGAATGACTATGTCCCACCAAAATTCATATGTGGACATCTAACCCCAATGTGATGGTATGTGGAGGTGGGGCCTTTGGGAGGTGATTAGGTCATAAGGGTAATCAGTGCCCTTGTAAAAAGAAGCCCCAAAGCTCCCTCTCTCTCATTCTGCCATGCAAGGATCCAAGGAGAAGTTGACCGTCTACAGTGTGGAAGAGGACCTCACTGGAACCATGCTATTGCTCTGATCTCAGACTTTAGGCCTCCAGAACTATGAGAAATAAAACTCATTCTAGCTCCAGGTCCTTTGTACTTGCTGTTCCTTTTGCCTAGAAGGTTCTTCTCGCAGATCTCTGCTTGGCTGGCTCCTTTTTTCCTTTCAGATCTTAACTCAAATGGCATGTCTCTGAATCTGAAGTGTCCCGCCATCCTCCTACCCTCTGCACAACATGCTCTCCATCACACAGTCAGGTTTATCCTACTGCCACTTAGAACAATCTAAAATGATATTGTCTGTTTACTTGTTTCTCTTCTGTACTCTCTGGAATATAGACTCCTAAAAATAAGGACCTGTCTTGTTTACTCTTCTATTCCTGATGTCTAGAACAGTTTCTAGCACACAGTAAGATTTGTTGAATAAATGAATCAATTATTATAAAAGAGATAATGAATAAACTGCCAGGAGAACAGAAAGAAGGAATTTCTTACTTCTGCCTAAATGTGTCGGAGAAGGCTCCCTGAAAAGGAGAAAATCAAATCATCTTTTAAAATGAGCAAAAGTTTACCAAGCAGGTAAGGAGTAAGGGGAAAGAAAACTGTGAAGAGAAAAAATACTATGATCAAAAGCCCAGCATGTAAGGTTAAAAAGCCACAAGGAGAGATGATCTTCTGGATCCTTTGGAGAAGAGTAGGAGTTGAGATACTTAGGGAGCTTAATGGTGAAACAGATCTTGGACTTTATAGGCAGACAGGAGCCTCTGAAGGACTTTAAGCAAAGTAGTTATATGATTGGATTGCATTTGATAAAAATCAACCTGGGATTAGCATGGGGGATAAATCAGAGTAAATCAAAGCTGGAGCTGGGTAGAGAGAAGACAACTAAGGACAAAGCCCTAGGATAATATAATATAGAGAATGAAGATCCAGAAAATGAGACTGAGAATGTTTGGCCTGTCAAAGTGAAAACCAGATAAGTGGGGAGTATTATGGAAGCCTAGAATAAGGTGCTTCAAAAGAACAATCTAGGGGCGCCTGGGTGGCTCAGTGGGTTGGCTTGGGTCATGGTCTCAGGGTCCTGGGATCGAGTCCCGTCTTGGGCTCTCTGCTCGGCAGGGAGCCTGCTTCCTCCTCTCTCTATCTGCCTGCCTCTCTGCCTACTTGTGATCTCTCTGCATCAAATAAATAAATAAAATGTTAAAAAAAAAAAAGGAGAATCTAGTTAGACATATTATGACCCAGAAACTATACTTCTAGGTATCACCAGAAACTTACATACAAGGAGATATCTGTAAGAATGTTCAAAGAAGGACTATTAGTTAGTTATAATGAAAAGGAAAAATAATTGAAGTGTCAGGGCATCTCAGTCAGTTAGGAGTCCAACTTTTTTTTTTTTTAACTTACTGGTTATTTATTTTACATAAGGTTATAAAAACACTGGCAAAATGACCTGGAAGTATTTAGAAATTTTTTTTAAAGATTTTATTTATTTATTGGAGAGAGAATGAGTGAGAGAGAGCATGAGAGAGGAGAAGGTCAGAGGGAGAAGCAGACTCCCCAAGAAGCTGGGAGCCCGATGTGGGACTCGATCCTGGAAGTCCAGGATCATGACCTGAGCCAAAGGCAGTGGCTCAACCAACTGAGCCACCCAGGCACCCTGGAAGTATTTAATATATACACTTCATTGGTAAAACTATAAGGAAAAGCAATTTCCACAGCAGGTGAGCTGTTTTTTGTTTTTTTTTGGGGGGGGGGGGGGGCTTAAGGATCTGATGAGACTTTATTTCAGCAATTGACAAGAGAATTTGGTTATTTCCTTGAGACATTTTCAAATGATGACTGACACCATAATACCAGGGCACTGGTATTTAGGTTTAGGAATTTCATACAAATATACTCTAAAGAAAATTTAGTATCACTTCTTATTTCACAATGCTTCCCATGAAATTTAACATATACGAAAAGTCACACGGTGGTAAAACACTTGGCTCTCTTAATAGCAAAGACTCAGTTCCTTAAGTAATCAAAAATCTGATAAAAACACAGAATCTTTGTTTCATAGGCAGCTTACATTAAAGATAAAGAAAAGTCTTTGTTTACACTTTCTTTTTTAATTTTTTTCAGTGTTCCAAGATTCATTGTTTATGCACCACACTCAGTGCTCCATGCAGTATGTGCCCTCCTTAATACCCACCACCAGGCTCACCCATCTCCCCCACCCCCTCGTCTCCAAAATCCTGTTTGTTTCTCATAGTCCACAGTATCTCGTGCTTCGTCTCCCCCTCTGGTTTACCCCAATTCACTTTTCCTTTCCTTCTCCTAATGTCCTCTACATTATTCCTTATGCTCCACAAGTGAAACCGTAGGATAACTGACTTTCTCTGCTTGACTTATTTCACTCAGCATAATCTCCAGCCCCATCCATGTTGATACAAAAGTTGGGTGTTCATCCTTTCTGATGGCTGCATAATATTCATTGTATATATAGGACTCCAACTCTTGACTTCAGCTCAGATCATGATCTCAGGGTCATGGGATCAAGCCTTGCATCGGGCTCCATGCTCTGTAGGGAATCTGCTTCCCTCTCTCTCTCTCTTTCTCCCTCTCCCTCTGGCTCTCTCCCTGCTCAAACACTGTCTCTAAAAATAAACAAATAAATCTTAAAAAAAAAAAATAACTGAAGTATCCATCTATAGGATAATGCATAAATTACAGTCTATTCATATAAGGGAACACTATACAGTAGTGAAAATAAACATTCCAGGGCCATGCATGGCAACATGAATGATTCTCCTAACAAAATGCTGAATGAGAAGAACAAGTTGCAAAAGAAGATATGTGAGAATAACTTTTTTAATATGGGAGTTAAAAACATGAAAACCACTACATAGTACATAAGAAAACACATATGTAGCAAAAGTACAAAAGAAGTAATGGAACAATAAATATCAATTCAGTATAGTAGCTACATCTGGGAGTATTGGGAGAGGACACAATTGGGAAGAGATGCTTGGGGGCTTCAGCTGAATGGATAGTTTTCACTCTTTCAGCTAGATGGCAATATACATGTTCATTATATTATTTTGTACTTTTTTATGTCTGAAGTATTTTATAATAATTTAAAACTAACCAAAAAAAGGAGTTGTTCACCAGGTCAAATGCTACTGAAGAGTTAGTAACATCAGGACAGAGAAGTAATGCTGGGATTTAAAAATTAGAGGTCAAGAGTAACTTTGTTAGAACCATTTCAGTAGATTATTAGGGGTTAAAATGTCACTCAGAGTGCCTTGGGGAGACAATGGGAGATGTGAAAAAGTAGAAAGAACCAGTATAGGCAACTATTTAGAAGAGTTCTATGACAGGAAGCAGAGATAGGGTTGAGAGTTAGAAGGGGGAAATAGTCAATGGAAGATTAGTCTTAAAGATGGGTTTTACTTAGGTTCATCTGCATGACCGAAGAACAGATGGTGCAAACACTAAAGC